GGTTCTAATAGTTAAATAGTTTTTACAGCCGGTGTACAGCAGTCACTTCACCTTATATGTTAACTAGTCTGTATAGTTCTTTTGCCTAATCTTATGCTATATTAAGGGTTTATGATAAATATATTTATTCCATAACTGCTAGATATCCATGAATTCAATTTAACAGCAGAAGAATGATTATTACATCTATAAGAAGAAACTGAAGATATGTTATATTATTTGTCATATTAACAACTGATTATTAAATCCAGCAAAATTCAAAAATGCAGGATGTCCAAGAGAATAAGGTCCTTCAGAGGTGGAGAATCGAAATTTTAGTACCAATAATCAGGGAAACTAGGAATTAAACTATATAGTATTAAGGATTAGACGAAAAATACAAGAAACCTAAACGAAAATGATATCCAAGTGGAATATTCTCCATATTATAATACGAATAGGGAAACTCCAACAACAATAACCAGGCAAATTTATACTCCTCACCAGCGTGTCTGATTAAAAAAATATGCAACTACGAAGTAGCCAGACTACGTCAAATATATCATCCTATTAAATATAATGAAAACAAAGAATACGGAAGAATAAATAAACTGGTTAAGGATTCTTATGTATACAAAGGAATCAGAGGGAGGTAATAGGAAAAAGAGTCTTAAACTTAATCAACTATCAGGAAGGTAAAAAATGTACATATTCCTCCAAATCCACAAAAGCAACGGGAATAATAAGGGATAAGTAATATAAACCCAAGTCACCTATTGAAACCAAGTAAATGACCAATTAAGAAAATGACAAGGTGATATATTATCTATCCTAAGTATTTAGTCTTTTCATAGCTACAACTAGTAGACAGGTTAGGTAGACTCGAAGAAACTCGGGACCCCAAGCCTACTAAATAAGAGTTTTTCGTTATAATCTTAATAGTGTCAGATATCTGACTATCAGAAAATTAAACATCTCTAAAACTCAGGAGCGGCCCCCCAGCAGTCAAGGCAAAATGAGCAGATATGAGGATCCTGCAAATATGTGATACCAAATGGTCAAACATGAAATTATAAGTCACACCTTATTAAACAAGTTTCAACAATAAGTGAAATGATATATATGTCCCCCCTTCTGCCGCACAAATAAACTCTCTTGAAAACGAAAGAGGTGAGATCAGGTTAAAAGCAGGTTGGTAATTATAGGATCTAAGGTCAATTTATTGTTCATAATCCAAAGGAAGGAACAGGCAGTAGTGTCTTACCCCTGGAACCACAATGAACGAATCAGGTGCCAAAGTAACAACAAATTTAATATCTCCCCCCAAATGAGCCCAAAATCCGCATCATCTCAACAGAACCTAAAAGAAACAACAAAGGGCATCAGAATTCACGGAAACAGCAAATCTAAGGCTCATACCACACAAGAACAAGAAAAGAACATGCCAAAGGAAACCCTGCAGGACTTACCCTCTAATCAAACGAAGTAGAAAATAACTCCCCCCCTATTTCTCGAACCTAATGAACAACATTACCCCTAACAAAAGGTACCATAAGAGTAGAACAACACGTACATCAGTAATAACGTCTAACACTGAATAAAGAGACTACTGCCACAAAGGATAAAAAAGAAAACAAGGAAAAGGAACTCAGACTCCCCGGCCTAAGGAACAGCACAAGTTACAGCACTAGGTTCCCAAATCGCCCAAGCTGAATAAAGAAGAAGGAACCACCTAATATCAAAAGATAACCCCTAGTCAACAAAAGAATCAGCAATTATACTGTGTAGCTAGCCAGACATTGAGTAATTCAGATGGCACAAATGAGGAAAAGAGACGAGGAAGCCCCACCCAACTCCCCCAGAAAATCTCAAAATTTCAAGAGTACAATAGTGGAAAGCAGGCTACTCAGAACCAAAAGATGTCAGAATGATTAGTCAATCATGCAAAACTCTCACCCAAAAAGAATGCAGAAGAAACGATAAAGGAGGAACCTCCAGAAGATCTTCCTGTTGCAATAAAGCAAATAGAGAAAACCAAATGGCCCCAGACATTACATGACAAGGATCAAATCCGCCTTCAATCTCAAGCCCTCCCCAACAACAAAATCAGACAGATTATAAGGATCCCCAAATCCAAAACTTACCCTCAAAGTTCTAATAGAGTAGATATAAGATAAAAGGCCACTCTACACCAAGGGAAGATTAAGGACTCACCCAACCTGATTCCCCCAACAAGAAGGTAATGATGGTTCTAAAAGATAAAGCATGAAGGAACAGACGACGAAGGAAGAAGCAATAAGAGGACAACCAAACCCCGCAAAAGAAAAAAGGGCAAAGAAGGAACTTTAAACAGAGGAGTACCTATTTTCATAGAAACATGACCAACTAAAGGCAAGTGACCTCTCATGAATACTAAGGAATTCCAGAGGTTCGACCCATTCCGAAGAAATCATCCAAAAAAAAAAAGTCAAGAAACCGAACCTTAGACATAAGTCTCAAGGCCTAGTCAAACAAAGACTCTCTCGTAATTTCCTGGAAAACAAAGAAAGAAGACTCATATAATGAAATACCTCAAACTCGACTTAACACCTCCAGATCCAAACAACAAAAAGACTCGTAACCGAAAGAAAAGGAACCCCCAAGATATGACAGAACAGATGGAGATACAGGTGAGAGTCTCTAACAACCCGAGTGACCGGACCTAGGAAACGGTTAAGGTGATAGAAGTCTCAACCCCCGTAAATTATGAGGCCGAAGTCGACTGACACTCACAGGACATGTAGGAGAGAAGTCACTTACAACAGCCCACCTTTCTAGCCAAATGGAGCGACCATAATAATAGAAGACAAAAAGCAGCAGAGACAAAATAGAAGACTGAACAGAAAGAAGAACCCAGAACAATACATTAAGTGTTAAAATAACGTAGCAATTATAAATAAGCGATAACAGCTCGGGAAACTATGAAAGAGAATTCTCAAGGAGAATATCAACATAATTCAAACAGCAACTTCGGCGGCCGAAAAGATCGTATCGAAAACTATCCCCCAATCCAAAAGTTTCCCTCACCAACAACAACCCAGAGGTTCGAAGAACAAGTGAGGTAAAGTAACCCCTTTAGAGGGGGTAGTACAAATTCATCAATTCCAGCCCAACAACGAAATACGAAGTTGAAGGAGAAAACCTACAACAAGTAATACCCATCTCCTCACTGCATTCAATCAGCAACAACAAAACAATCCAGATCTAGAACAAAGAGAGGAAAGATGAAGTAACGGAACATGACCAAGGAGCAAGTCAATAATAATAGACCCGCACGAACTGAATAGATCAGATATGACCAAGTCAGGCAAGAAGTTGCCTGATCAGATTAAGGAAGAGCGGAGAATCCCTCGATCCCACAGTTCCAGGTAGCTTAGACATTACCCAAAACAACAGATCCAAACTTGCGAGATTCCAACGTGGGGGTGCCAGAGACTAGGTCAGAGGAACTACAAAAGTTTATGACCAGGAATTCCGTCATTAAGATATATAAAAGCCCCAACCAGCCTCCAGCAGCCCTGTCCCAAGTCATGAAGCAAGAAGGATTCCAGCGCTAAGAAAGAGACAGCAGGTTCCCTCAACAGGGCACAGCAAAGACATCTCAAAATCATCTAGAGAAGTAGAGGTCCCCCCAAATCCACAGGGAAATGCCAAATCATAGCCCAGTCAAGGGACCCAAGAGGGGGAACTAACAGGAGTAATAATAAAAAAGGGTTAAGAAAACTCACGTCTCCTCCCAAGAATAAAGGGAGGTGCAGAGCAAAAGGTCAAACCTCAACCTGAGAGTGTAGACCTAAAGACCAAAAAAGACTCACATCGTAAAGGGACCCCACACTTAGGAGACCCCTCCCGGCTCAACAACCAAGAAGTTCAACCACCTCCCCAAAAGAAGGATTAAACTGCGTAATTATGAAGATCACTGAAATCCCCGATCCAATAGGGGCAGAAGCTGCAAGAGTCAGATTAGTTGACTTCAGGCAGGACGGCAACCCTAGAACCAAAGAACAGAGTTAGAAGATTCACGAAGGAGAGAGCGGATCATTAAGTGAAGACATCCGAAAAGGTGAGTCGACATCATATAAGTGGGGTCGCGCAGGAATATAAACAAAAGAAACACCAAACTTCCCTGCCCCCACCAACAGGATAAGGACGCAATCTACAACGAGAGGATGTAGGAGCACTATACGAGTAGAGACCTCAGGCGAAAACAAGAGACCGTGAGAACAACAGACCCCTGAACTAAGGGACCAACCAATGAGAGAATGCGAGGCTGACTAGCTAAGAGGGCAAAACAAATAAAGAACCCAGACACATACCAGTGTCCACTCCAGAAAGGAAATAAACCAGAAACCCGAACTACAGGACCCTACCGAATAGAGGAGATCGTTTAGAACTCTCTGACTGGACAGGTGAGGAGCTAATTTCAAAGCAAGACACAGAAGGTAGCGGCCAACCCCAGATATAACAAGACGAAACCAGCAGGAATAAGAAGTCTCCTCTGACGAGACATCTAAGAGAGGAAGGGGGAGAAAAAACAAGCAAGGCCCCCAGGAGGGGAAGTGACTAAAGCTAAAGGGCCCCCATGACTCAGGACGGAGGAGTTTCGGCTAGGTTTCAAGACAGAAGGAAGAAGAAAATGAAAGAGTCAGTTGGAAGAAGAAAGGGCAATAGAAAAGGACAAGGGGCCCTAAGGACCAATAATTCTGATCAGAGCCAGTGAAATTAAGCCCAAGGCGAGAGTCCTCATCCATAACACAACAGAAGAGAGGGTAACCAGCTGAAGCTAACCCCCCCGAATTAAGCAGTAAGAACGAGGGCGTAGAGATGAATGGATGAAAGTTATAACAATCTAAGAGGTGAGAAGCCGAAGGGCACTGATCTGAAGGCATATAGAGGCAGGGAAGAACACCGAAAGGAGACACCAGCCAAAGGAGGATCCTGAAAGACAAGCGTCGGATGGGAAGAGTCAAAAGAGATAACGAGGGAAGCAACTGGAGGACATAACGAAAGCGGAACAGGAGAAAGGACACAGCCACCAGGAGCAGTATAGAGAAGCAGCACCAAAAGAAGCCACGGGGGAGTTCACGTGCTTTAAAGCATCGAACTAAGAAAAAACAACAAGAAACTGTATATTTCCTTTAAGCAGATAACTCAATCAAGAACAAGGACAGACATAAAAGGAAAGGGTATCAGGGACGGACAAACGGAATCCCCAACTCGCGAGCAAGATAAATCAGGAGACAGAGACGCGGATCACAATCACGACTCCAAGAAAAGGAACCTAAGGGCCACTGAAAGCAACGGAAGTCGAATGACAGAACGAACACGACAGAGCCGGAAGAATAGCCAGCAGGGTTAAGTCAAAAGTCGCAAGGGACTCCAAACAGGACCCAAGGATTGCAAAAGGTAGCTATTCTAGAGGCGGAAGGATTAAGTCCACATCCCGAAGCGGGGGGAGGGGGCATTTGCAGAGAGAATTCTCTGACAGATCAATATCAGGAATCATCCCAGAGGAGAAGGGGGGGGAACGGGATAAGAGTATGACCGATAGGAGAACACAAGAAGGAAGAGCCGTAAAGCCTAAACAAGTGGGAGATAGGGAGAGACGAGACAAGACGGGAGGGAAAGGGCCCGACCAGGAGGAGGAAGCCGAGGACGAACCCTCCCTACGAGAGAAAAAGGATAACCGTAACTCTTCGAGGAAAGGAGGCCACCCGTCGAAACCAATTCAAGATCAGAACTGAAAACGAGTGTAGGCTTCCCAACCCGAACAAAGGAAAGACTCCGAAAGAAGCCCAACCCCAGGTAAGCGAACAGGGGGCCAATGGGGAACGAAGAATTAGGACGAATAAAGGCAGGAGAAGATACGGTGAACAACTAAGGTGATATGATCAAAGGAAGACGAAGGAATCCGCAAATTAAGAAGAGATGTCACTGAACCTCTGTAATTGGAGAGACAACACCTGGTTAGGGTCAACGGTGGAAAGTATCGAAAGAGTATGCAGACAATACACAGACGAATCCGAGGCAGGAACAAGGGAACAACATCCAAAGGAAACACTCTGGATAGGATGGTTGGATGAGTACAACACAGGTGATTCCGCCTCTCAACTAGCCAAACAATATCTGAACCTCCGACGGCAGGACCCAATAAAGGGATGCGGAGGGAGAACAAGGAGTATGAATATCAATACATGGGAAAAGTTAGTCACCGACGTATTGGATAAGATACAAAATGTGAAGGAGTTAAGGTATGCATGTCGTCAAAAAGACACAAATCAGGAAGGACTACGTTATGATAAGGCCCCAAACTGGAAAGATCTTTTATGCCGACGTTGTTGGCCCGAAACAGAGGGCTCAAGGGCCATCTTAGGAGCCCTGACGTGCATAATAGCCAGATTAGCTCAGCCGACCGAGAACAATAACAACAAAGGGATGGACACTCCTGATCCATGTCGAGATGTATTACGCGAGCTGCGAGTAGGGGAGTCTGACTGGGCGCCGTGGTTAACTACAGCCCCAAGCCCCCCTCTAACAGATTGTCCAGACACACCAGGCGAAGAAAGGAAGAGGGAGGCGGAACAAAGCAAGATTAGTTTAGTCTTGAGCATTTATGGCGCCTTAAGAGAATTATGTCCCACCTGTGGACCATATCATTTAACACCATGGATAGCTCCAACACCCGGGGACTTCCTGCCACAAGGGAACTTATATTGTTTATTAAACGAGAAAAATCTGAACTGTAGTTCACAACTAAATCAGCGCCAGATAAACACCAGCTATTTGTTGTATCGGGGGAAAACCATCAGTCGAAAAAATAACTCTCAGACCCACACGCCCCCCGATACAAGAAAACAGTCCCCCGGAGGGGAGAGAGAAACTCAACCCCAAGGAACATCTATTCAGGCTCAATCACATCGGACAATATCTAATCAGCAAACCACAGCCTCCAACCAGAAGTCGATGCCTCAAGATATCCCAAAGGAACAAAAAACAACTGAAAGAGGAGAAAACGGATCCAGGGATGACCCCCCTGGAAAAAGCTTCAAGAACGACTCAGAGGGGTTGATGGGCCTGAATTCAGCATCTTCCCCCCCAAGAGTCGGGGACCCAAGGGACCAGCTGAGCAGTAGAGTTAGCAGTGGACCTGTAATGAGTCAAATCGAACCCCCACAACTCCCGAAGGCCGTCTCAGAGACAGAAGGCAGAAATCGAACAAGCCACCAGAAACTGACTGCTGAAGTATTTAACAGCTCCCCAAAGGTGATTGGGGGCGTTATTACGGCACTAATTCTGGGAAGTTTAAGTATGTATGGAGCCTGGAGAATAAGATATGGAAAGCGCAGGAACCCGGAACCAAAATCCTCCCGAATCAAAATCCTGGTAAAGTATCCAAGTTCAGGGAATACTTTAGCTGACACAGAAGAAGAACCAAGAGGCGAGGGAAACAATTAAACCAAAACGCGTCCTCGGTTGGGGGGCAACTGAGGGCAAAGTGGACAGGAGCTAGGGGATCAAAGGTTGACATGGGTTAATAGTGGGATAAGCTTAGGAATGAAGGGATCTCCCACCCGTAAAATCATCAGGGGCCGGTGAGGTGGAGTCCCTGGAAGACAAAGAAACCTGGCGAAGCGTAGTGCGTCTGCGATATCCTCAGGGGACTATAGTCTGGTTAATTTCGTTTGAAGGGGACGCAATACGATTGAAGGAGACTCTTAAGAAATCGGAAATTCGGTCCTGGTTTCCGATTCCAAGTGGGCCAGATTGCCTTCGAGGACCGAGGGTTAACTTTTATGGTTCCTCCTTTGAGTTGGCCGTGTAGACTTTAAAGGTCAACTTAAATGGATTCTTGTCAAAGGGTAGGTCGGTCAAGTCTGGCGCCTGAATTTTAGCCTTCAGCGTCTCCACCTTCCCGGGGAAGGATTCTGACATAAGAATTTCCAGGAAGCAGCTGTAAAATTTGCTCCTTAACGATTAGGTATATGTGTGACGCTTTAACGCTTGGGGTTTAGGGTCCCGGAAGCACAGGTAGACTTCGGCTTTAGACTTTATCCTTCGTGAGTCCAGGGTTCGGGAATAAGGGGTTGGGGGTTAGGCTTAGTGATTAAGCCGTCATTGTTTAGAGTTTATGGGTCCCGAAATCAGGAGTTATCCATTGGATTTAGCGTTAGGGTTCCTGACTGAGGCTATATTTGTATGCTTA